TCTCTCTCTCTCTCTCTCTCTCTCTCTCTCTCTCTCTCTCTCTCTCTCTCTCTCTCTCTCTGGAAGGTTTTGAAGGCACTGCTTGGTCTTTTTCATCCGTAATTTCACAAACGTGGCACACATTATAACACTATCGAATGCATAATAACTGGATGCGTTAAAGTATCCTTTAAGAAGATACTTTTCCCAAAACCTAAACCCGAGACTCAAAGGGATCCTGTTGTAACTACTATCACACGTACAGCTGGTTAGTTCACTAATGTTGCAGGGATGACCACAGAAAATGAGGAAGTGGGGGGGAGCGATTTGGGTGTGTTTATGTTTTAATTTTAATTTTGAAATGCTAAGGAGAGAACCCAGCAGGAGAAAGCGAAAACTGCTTGCCTAAAACTGCACCTCGCAGCTAGCCTGAGGCTGCGCGGGTCTGCGCCCTGGGACACCCTCGCAGGCAGCAATCGGGGCAGCACCTTCCCACCACGCCCGAGCAGAACCCCTGGGTCCAGTGCCCAGGACACGCCCTGCACAGTCAGTCCTCCTGCCACCTCACCCTAGGCCGTCTTCCCCAATCTCAGTAGAACTAACCGGTGGAGGCGCTGGGTGGGGCTCCCCTGCCGCAGCGCCTAGCGAAGGCTGAGGCCTCCAGGTTCCTACCCGCCTCCTCTGGAGCTCCGGCGCCAACCTTGCTACCAGCCATACAGCCGGCTGCTCTTCCGGGTCCGTGCGGTCCCAAGCCACTCCGCACACCCGCCCGATTGAGCCCCTGGAGAAACCCGAGCCTAGTCCCTCGCCCGCGCAACCACAAGCCCCCGGCACTCACAGCCATAGTGCGGCCGGACCACACCCAGGCCATCAACCTCCTCCGCGGCGGACATGGCGGCCGACTCTGGGTCTCCGGTGAGGAAGCGCAGAGACCTTGAAGACGCGGGCGACCGTAGAAGCAGCAACTCCTGCCCAGTGCGCGGGCTGTCGCTGTCCTCAAAGCCCCGCCCCGCGCCATCGGCCCCACCCTACAGGTCCCGCCCCGCAGACCCCGCCCTTAAGTCCACGCCCCGCAGCGCTCCCTAGAGCGAGCGGAAGGGGCGTGGTCTCTTTACAAGACCCTCCCCCTACCCGCTTCGCTCTCCACTTGCGGAAGCGGGGGGGCGGAGCGCTGTAGCAAGTCACTGGGCCGGCTTGGTCCGTTGTCCCGACACTCCTCCGCCGTCGCCGTATCTGCGGCTCAGACTGAAAGACCGCCAATGTCTACAGCTTGAAATCCAAACTATTTTAGGCGCCTGCCTTCCACTGACAGCTGAGTTAACCCCCTCTGGACCGCAGCTCCTTGATGGAGCCGTTTCAGGTGGCCCAGGGTGTTATTATTGGATGCAAGTAGGACCCCCTGTTAGGAAAGACTCCCACCCCCTACTCTCTGCTTTCTGTCAATCTAGCCTCTGCTTTCCCCAGCAGTGCTAAAGTATAGAACTGCTCAGTCTCTTAAATTGGGGGATGAAGATGCTCAAACGGAAGACAATCTGTGCTCTTCTCCGCAAGCTCTTAGGGGGTATTTTGACCCTATTAAAGATGCCTCTTCTCTTTGCTCTTGTGATCTTTTAAAATGCCAGCTTTCAGCTGAGTTCTATCCTGACCCAGCCTAGATTACAGAGTGAGACACTGCCTCCAAAAAAGCAATAATAATTAAAGTTCCATTCTCACCATAAACAGTTGATGGCTTCTACTTACAATCCAGACCATCTAGAAGCCCCTCAGTAGTTTCAAACGAATGTGCACTTTTGCATCTCTCACGGACACTAAAAGCTGTCCAACATTGATCCTGTTCCTGCCCCACTCTCTGTAAGTGTTCAATTACCAGTCACACCCACCCACCCACCCAGGTTCCTCACCTCACCTCTATTTCTGAAGCATCTAGTTTTGTTTCTGTCCCCACCTGTGATATCACTGTTTTGATTATCATAATCTCTATTCTCACTTCTGCCAACCAGACTACCACGATTACCAGCATGTTCTTTCCAAAGTACAGAGTTCTTTGGGAAGGAGGACAAGTCTCACTATGGAGTCCTGGCTGTCCTGGAACCCACTAAATAGGCAAGACTACCCTTGAAGATCCATCTGTGTCTGCCTCCTGAGTGCTGGGACTAAAAGCATGTGCCACCACTCCTAGCTTCAGAGTTCTTGTCACAGATGTATTTTTTTTCCTATTACCCCCTTCACAGTGTGGTTTGTGTTCCTTTGCATGCCAGGTGAGCATCTTTACAACCCAATCCCAGGCTCTTTGTTCCAGCCATTTCCAATTTACTCTTTCTTTACAAACTTTCTTCTTACTTGGGCACGTTGGGGCACAACTTTAATCACAGCACTCAGGAGGCAACGGCAGGCAGATCTCTGTGAGTTCAAAGCCAGCCTGATCTACATAGTGAGTTCTAGAACAGCCAGAGCTATGCAGAGAGACCTTGTGTCAAGATAAATAAATAAAAATTTTAAATTTTTATATGGTACTAAGGATACAGCCCATGCCCTAACATATGTTAGTCCACCACTCTGTTACAAGCTACACCTGCAGCCCTGAATACTAAAGGAAGAAGACATGTTACAATCTATAAGCAGCTGGATGTCATCCGTCATCTTAGTACTCTTGGGACAGAGTCAGGAATCCTCATTGCAAGTTCAAAACCTGGGGTAGGTAGGTACAAAATCCTGTCTTTAAATAAGTAGGAAAAAGAAAGCCTATAAGAGGGCTAGAGATAAAACTCAGAGGCAAACACTTGCCTAGCATGCATGAGGCCCTAGTTCCTCCTATAGCGACATGCACACAAAGTATGCGAAGGTTTATTATAACCAAGTCATTTTTCCAAGGCTTCTTGCTGTTCTGTTTTGTGGGTTTGAGTTTATATGTGGGGGCTGGTGGTACTTTTATTTTCAAAGATGGAATCTAGATATGTTAACTAAGCTTGTCTAGAATTCCTGAGTTGGACCAGCCGTCTATCCTTGGCTCCTGTGCAGGTAAGACTATAGATTCAGCCAAACAACAAGTACATCTTCCTCAGTTCTTTAAGTTCAACTTACAAGTTTCATCCTTTGTAGAAGGCCAGCATGTTTTTGTTGGGTTTGAGAAGGTTGTTTTTTTGTATTTTTGAGACAAGGTTTCTTTATATAGTCTTGGCTGTCCTGGAACTCACTCTGTAGACCAGGCTGGCCTCGAACTCAGGTTCAAAAAAGGACAGTCCAGGTCCGATGCTGTACAATTCTAGGTTAATGTGAGCCATCTTGAATGTGAGAACTAGTCCTGCCATCTCTGCTATGAAAATTAGAGCAGTCCTGGTCTAAGGTCACTGAGTACCGGGTTGAAGCTCGTCAGGGCCACTCCAGCCTGGCCTGGCTTCCCTTGTGCTTTCCAGCCTGAGATTGAAGAGAGGGAGACACAAAGTCTGTGGTAATGGTTCCCTGGGAGAAAGGCAGAAGGATCAGAAGTAACATTTAATTATTTCAGCTCATCTTTTTACATTATTACCATATGAGCCCACAGGTGGGCTGCCCTTCAACTAGATGCCAATTAAGAATAGAATATACTGGGCTGGAGAGATGTCTCAGCGGTTAAGAGCACTGATGGCTTTGCCAGAGGTCCTGAGTTCAATTTCCAACAACCACATGGTGGCTTACAACCATTTGTAATAGGATCCGATACACTCTTCTTGTGTGTCTGAAGATACCAACAGTGTACTCATATAAACAAAATATAAATAAATCTTTAAAAAAAAAAAGGAATAGAGAATACTGAACTGGATATTATAGTTGATAGCCCTGGGTCTTAGAATGGCTCTATTCACCACTCAGCATGGTGGTATATACATACATATGATTAATATATATTAATCTTAGCATGTGGCAGGGCTAAGACAGAAGGATAGCAAATTTGAAGCCAGCCTGAGTCACATAGTAAGAACTTGTTGCAACACAAAGCAACAGGTAAAAACATTCTTTTCATTTTTTTTTTTTTGATGATGTAAAAGATACTTGTTCAATAGAAACCAGACTTCAACTTTTAAATTGTAATTTTTTTCCTTGGGCTAGAGATAGTAAGTAGATGTCCAGCTGTGGGATAATATCAGTGCTCTGGGCAGTAAGATTAAGCTGTGGCAACTGCTTAACTGACTGTGTTAGCACATTTTTCAGCTTACTATGTTTTCAAGTGATGTGGGTTGTCTGAGACATGCCACACAAGCAGAAGAGAATCTGTATTTCTTTAGTAGGAAGCTAGGTAAGCAAGAGACCTCAGGATTTCCAAAATGATGTTTAAATGAGGATAAATTCTGAACTCACAAACAAATTATGATACCATTTTTGCTTTAAAATATAAAGACATCCAAGGGCAGTAATACATACCTATAATCCCAATCCTTGGGAGAAAGAGGCAAGAGGATCAGGAGCTCAAGGTTAGCCTTTGATACATACTGAGTCAGCCTGGGCCACTTGAGACTCTTTCTCAAAAAAAAAAAAAAAAAGAGTTTCAGAACACAGTCCAAGAATGGAGCTGTGTAAGCTTCTGAGTGTGTATGTGGGATGTGGTACTATACATGAAGTCGATCAGCCTTAGGTATTGACTCAGGCTACACTTGTTTACCACTCCAGAGGTGGTGTGACCTGGGAGAATAGGGCAGATAAATGAGACAGAGTAAAGTCTCACAAAGTAGCCAACTTTATTCAGAGCATCAGACAATTTATACCCTGAGTTATAACAGGAGTCACATGAGTAAAGTGTACAATCACAAGGGCAAACCTTGCCTGACACGTTTTCTATAGAGGCATATGCAAAACTAATGATAGCCAGTTGTATTGAATAATCTGAAATAAATTCACACCTATCTGCTACACCTGTGATGGGCATAAAAACACATTACAAAAAAAAAATTCATGAGATCACCAGTGTTTGGTTTCAGGTCTCAGGGACAAGGGACTGAGGTGCATATTTTACATACCAAAGCAAACCTGGCCTCTAGGTTCTCTCAGAATCCCTCAGTCCCTACCTGGCATACCCTGCCCCCAACCCAGGGGTTGGGCTGCCCTTCCTCCAGAGGATCTTCCCTATATAATCCACACATTTTGGTCTCTCTTTTTCTTCTCCTCCTCCCCCCCCTCTTCCTCCTCCTCTTCCTTTTCCCCTTCTTCCTCTTCCTCCTCCTCCTCTCCTTCTTCTTCCTCCTCCTCTTCTCCCTCCTCCTCCTCCTCTTCTCTCTCTCTTCGTGGGCCCCTTTCTCTCTTTCTCTCTCCCCTCCTGCACCTCCTTTCCCCAAAGCAACTTCCCTGGCCTTGGTCCTTGGGAGAGCTTTCCAATAAACCTGCCTTTAATATAATCTAATCTGGGATTAAATTGGTTCATTTCACCTGCACCAGAGACATAACCTATCAACCAGACACTTGTTTTCTTGGAGTTTTCTCACAAGCACTCAGAGATCTCCTCACAGGACATTCTTGGACCATGTTCTGACAAAGGAAGAGGAGAAGAAGGAAGAAAGGAGGAAGAGAAGAAAGAAAGAAAGGAAGGGAGAGAGAGACAGAGACAGAGACAGAGACAGAGACAGAGAGAGAAGAAAGAAAAAGAAAAGGAAAGAAAAGCAAGGCCTACCAGAAGAACAGTCAGGAACAGTGATGTGCGTCTGTGTATTCCTGATCTCAGGAGGCTAAGACCAGAGAATAACGGGTTCAAGACTCTTTCTTGGGGGTCAGAAGAGAGGGATCCAGGGGTGATGGTGTGCTTGTCTTTCATGCCTAGAGGCAGAGACAGGCAGATAGCTATGAGGTCCAGGCAGCCTGGTCTACATAGAGAATTCTAGACAAGCCAGAGCTATATGATGCTATGCTGTCCCAAAAAAGAAAAGAGAAGATCCGGGACAATATATTAACAGCGGATTCTCCAGGTAGTGAGGTTACTGGACTTGTGAACTTTGTTTACATCTTTATGTTCTCTACAATG